TCTGGCTTGCTCCGTGTGTGTGTGGGGGGGGGTCGGTTCTTCGTTGGGTGGGTACTGGTGACAGGAATGCAAGACGAGAAAAATCCCAAATCAGCCTTGCCGGCTTCGACCTAGGCGATGCCTGCTGGCGCCGCTCACCTTTCTGGAGCGCGCCCGCCAGGTCTACTTCCCCCTTCCCCTCTACCTCCCAGGTGAAAACCCCGAGTTGCCTTTTTCATCTAAAAAGTACTCCAACCGTTTCTAAATATTTGTCCTTTTAGAGATTTCAAATGAACTACCACATACGGATGTATATAGACATATTTTAGAGTGTAGATTCACTCATTTTGCTCTGTATGTAGTCACTTGTTAAAATCTCTAGGAAGACAAATATTTAGGAACAAAGAGAGTATAATACGAGTAGCACATTCATAAAATTTGTTTAATTCAAAACTGAGCTCTTTCTTGAACCTTTTTCATCTAAAAAAAGTATATCATGAATGCATAACACATTCATAATTTTTGTGGTCACATCCCACCAGGCCAAATATTTCATAAAGAATATCGCATGCGATCGAAGTATACTTTGTATGTCGGTGATAGATTTTTGATGACTAATTCTTGCTCTTCTACGAAACCGCGTAAAAAGAATGTCACACAGATTTGCGAAGGAACAAATAATTTTGCGCCCTCAACCATATTTCAAACGGATTATATTCAAAAAATTGACACCGCTTACAAAATGCCATCTTACACTTAACACTGGATTTTATACATGGTTTTGATTTTCATGTATAAACTTTGTCTTTTGCTAAGTACAGTCCATTAAAACACGAAATCAGACATCTTTAGCTTTAGCTTTGCCTGATTGCCTCTCTTTATGGAGTAAGTAGCATGGAAACGTGGCAGAAAGAAAAAGTCACTCGTGAGAATTCAGATCGCCGTGCCCCCGTGAGATTCCCCACCGTAAAACTGCTAGCAAGCGGCCCTCCGAGGGCTGGAGGACGAGACAACAGAGCACAAGCACCGCAGCAGCAGCGGCGGCGGAAAAACCCTCGCACGTCGGCCGCCCGCACGGCCACCGCCGCACCCCGCCGCCGATCCGATCCCGTCGAAACCGAGCTGGTAAACCCCTCCAAACTCCCGCCCGCCGCCCACTTCTCCGACTCGCATCGAGACCCGATCTGAGCAAACCCCCGGCGACCCCGCAGGTCTCCCCTCCGATCCGGGCGGTCGTGGCGCCGGCATGGCGCGGTTCGAGGTGAACGGCAAGTCGGTGGAGGGCGTGGACCTGCTGCGGCGGCGCCACTGGACGGCGCGCCTCGACTTCTGGCCCTTCCTCGCGCTCTACGCGCTCTGGCTGCTGCTCGCCGTCCCGGCGCTCGACTTCACCGACGCCCTCGTCATCCTCGGCGTGCTCTCCGCCTCCCACATCCTTGCGTTCCTCTTCACCGCTTGGTCCGTCGACTTCCGGGCCTTCGTCGGGCACTCCAAGGCAAGACACCACCTCTCGCCCCCCACATAATCAACATTATCCACATCTGTCTGGTGCGCAGTCTATATTGGGTTAAACATCTTACACTTGCTTACGTTGCAGGTTAAGGATATCCATGCGGCGAACGCGTGCAAATTAATCCCAGCGAAGTTCCTGGGGTCAAAAGAAATTGTGCCTCTGCATATACAGAAAACTGTGAGTTAGTTCTGGTTTTGCTGTGAACTGGTAGTGTTTTCGATGTTTGGTCACTGAGTGTGGTTTGGGTGTCTGTTCAGGTTGCCTCATCGTCGACTTCAGGTGAGACGGAGGAGATCTACTTTGATTTCCGGAAGCAGAGATTCTTTTATTCGGCAGAGAAAGACAACTTTTTCAAGCTCCGTTACCCGACAAAGGACTTATTTGGGCATTATATCAAGGGCACCGGGTATGGAACAGAGGCCAAGATTAACACTGCTATGGACAAGTGGGGGAGAAACATGTAAGCTGCTGTTTTGCTCCCTGTTTGTACACTCTTTCAGTAGTTGAGGTAGAGGGCTGTAAATTGATCACTTATCATAGTTGTTGATATAGATGGCACAATCATGAACTGTAGCTTCCGCTTGGTTTTCTTTTGTTCTTTATTTCTAGAGTTGCTACATTGTAGCGAAATAGTGCCCTGAAAAATGTGCAATTCGATAGGGAACTCCCAAATCGACTTATGTAAAATGTATATGGTATGAAAAAAGAGATTATATTGGCAAGAAAGTAGAGAAATCTTGTTGATGTGCTACGTGCCTTCTTATCACACATGCTGACATGCAGTCATAGCAGCCTCTTGTACATTACAATGCATAAACCATTAGCGAAATAGAGCCAAAACTATAAATAGTAGCTGAAGGAATTTGGAGCATTCATAAATATGTTCACCACAAATGTGCAAATATATGATGCCCCACACTGCTGCTGGGATTGGTTGTAACATATTTTGATGAGATTTTACTGTATGGACCATGAATATTTGGGTTAATAATATGAGAATTGAAACAGAGAATACATATGATTTACTGTATTTGATTATTGTATATAGTTGTAAAATATTTTTTGAATATAAGTATATAGTATAATAAAATGGAAATGACTTGAGACTTTTTCCATGTATGGTTGCATGTTGACTTGGACCTTTTCCCATGCATGGTTGCATGCTGAGTTGGACCTTTCCCATGAATGGTTTCATGTTAAGGTGTCATGTTTGCATGTTGAGAAAAGTAGGTTAGTGGGAATCACCTACTTAGTTATTATATAGGATTCTATTCTCATGCATGCAAAATATCGTAAAATCACTTAAATAAGAAATATGTTGCTGTTCTGGAACGAATTATGAATATTGAATGGGTGCAAAACATGTGTCTGTAGTGGCATTTTCTAGGAGAACCTACTGTAAAGTAAACATAAACTATCTGTCTAGGAAAGTTCAAATATTGGCAATGGAGGTTGATGCTTGATGCACTTTAATGTGATCAAGGAGAATTTTCTGTATATCAGTATTTTTGCTACAGTGTATTGAATCGAATATCTAGCTTTGCATGCTTAAGCTTTTTTCATACACCTGTTTAGCTATAGTGGCTAATGCCTGTAAATTGTTTCCTCTAGATTTGAGTATCCACAGCCCACATTTCAGAAATTAATGAAGGAGCAATGCATGGAGCCATTTTTCGTTTTCCAGGTTAGTCTATTTCTCACTTGACCTGCATTTTGCTTATATGTCTTTTTCTTTTTCTAACAGTGAGCTCTTACTCTACAGGTTTTCTGTGTTGGCCTTTGGTGCCTGGATGAGTATTGGTACTACAGTTTGTTTACACTTTTCATGCTCTTCCTATTTGAGTCTACTATGGCAAAGAATAGATTGAAGACATTGACTGAGCTTAGGCGTGTGAAAGTTGATAATCAGATTGTGTTGACTTACCGCTGTGGAAAGTATGCCTTATTCATTTGAATTAGTGCTTACACTGTTCAAGTATATATCACATCCTAATAGTGCATCTATTTATTCAGATGGGTTAAAATCTCAGGCACAGAACTACTACCTGGAGATATTGTGTCAATAGGCCGCTCGCCTAGTGGTGAAGATAGATCTGTACCAGCAGATATGCTATTACTGGCTGGATCTGCCATAGTAAATGAAGCTATTCTTACAGGAGAGTCTACTCCACAGTGGAAGGTTTTCTTCTATCGCCCACCCCCCCTCTTCTGATCGTGCTAATTATATGACTTCCTTTTGTTTGGGGTAATTAGGACTTCCAATCGTACTTGTTTTTATAAGATGGAATCATACTCGCTAGTTCCATTCTGCAAGTTGTTTTCATTCCTAATTTGGAGTGAAACATTCCTGTTCTGATGTGCCATTCAGACCTTCAACAAATATTCCTTTTTAGAAAGCTGCATGCACACTCCTTTGAAATATACTTACATTTCTAATTGTACACCAAACATGCATATATTAGATATAAAATAACGGTTTGCATGTAATATTAAAATATGGAAATTGGTTTACTTAACAAATACCGTATGCAGTTATGCGTGTGAGCAAGGTACAAAGTAGCAATGATATAGGTAATATAAGAAGGGTTTCCAGCCCACCATTTGAGGAGACAATGTGGCTGTAACATAAATGATGGGGTTCAAACATCACCTCTAACTGAATGAGCTGGTATTATTCTCAAAAAAGAAAGAAAGAGCCAATATGTGGTTAAGCAGAACAAAACTGCTTCTTTTCCATTTTTCTACCGAAATTTACCTGCCCAAACGATTCTTGTCAGAAAAGTATGCTTCCAAGACAGATTAAGTATATTGTGTTAATCCAACTATAGCATCTAAGTACCGTTTTTCCTTTTCTGAGACATGCTTTATTACTACCCCTAGTATTTTGTTCATCTTGCTCTAGTTCTGAATGATCATCTTCTCCTATATAGGTCTCAGTTGCTGGCCGTGGCCCTGACGAAATGTTATCGATAAAGAGAGATAAGAATCATATCCTATTTGGTGGCACGAAGATACTGCAACACACGCCAGATAAGGTAGATGTATCATATATCTGTTATGCTAACGAGAGCTATCCTTGATAGCTTTATAGTATCGTTGACTCCTTTTCTTCTATACAGTCTGTAAATCTTCGGGCACCTGATGGTGGTTGCTTAGCTTTTGTATTGAGAACTGGATTTGAGACTAGCCAGGGAAAATTGATGAGAACTATCTTATTCTCAACTGAGAGGGTAACTTCCTTTCCTGAATGAAAAATAAATCTGACTTCTGAGTATGCAAATTTAAAGCTAACATTTGATCTATGTGACAGGTTACTGCAAATAGCAAGGAAAGTGGGTTGTTTATACTATTTTTGCTATTCTTTGCGATAATTGCATCAGGCTATGTGCTTATGAAGGTAATATCAGATAGCAACACCATCGATAAATCCATTGATCTTTCAGTTGCATACTATCTTTTTAAATTATGTACTTTGTTTTATCGTTGAAGTGTCTGTGTATTCATATATAGGGACTGGAGGATCCCACAAGAAGCAGATATAAACTTTTTTTAAGTTGTTCACTGATTCTGACTTCTGTGATTCCTCCTGAACTGCCAATGGAGCTGTCCATAGCAGTCAATACATCTTTAATTGCTTTAGTACGGCGTGGCATTTTCTGCACGGAACCATTCAGAATACCATTTGCTGGGAAGGTGAGGAAGAGAACCATGTTGTGCTCCTCTTTCTTCTTTCTGTACAAGCTCTTACAAGTTCTCTCCTACCAGGTTGACATATGCTGCTTCGATAAGACTGGAACATTGACATCGGATGATATGGTGAACTATGTTCTTGTCAATAAAAAAACATTTGGTTGGAGGTTTGTTAACAAATGAACCCCGTATTTCAGGAGTTCCAAGGAGTTGTTACTTTGGAAAGCGACGCAGAATTAATATCTGACGCAAATAAGTTGCCTCTCCGCATTCAAGAAGTGCTATCCAGCTGCCATGCATTGGTATTTGTGGACAACAAACTGGTATGTGTTGTGTGATAAGCACCAATAGCTGTCTACATGAAGCATAATCAAAGAAGTTTACATGCCTTTCTAAATGGTATATTCCATTTTGTTAAAGGTTGGCGACCCCCTTGAAAAAGCTGCAATAAAAGGCATAGACTGGATCTACACCTCTGATGAGAAAGCCATGTCTAGGAGGTAAGCTATCATCTCTTGTTGCGCATATATAATTATGTCAGCAATTGCACACTTGATTAAGTTGTTAGATATATATATATATATATATATATATATATATATATATATATATATATATATATATATATAGGGCTGCGCTAATGTAAGCGAGAGCGCATTCTTCTTAGCGTGCGCTCCGGCCGCTTAGGCGCGTGGGTCGCGCGGAGAAGGCTGCGCTCCACCGCAATACTAGTTAAGGGTAACGAGGTTTCTAAAAAAGTAACGCAATTAATTTTTTTACCATCCGATGTATCCCATCTCTGCGATGACTATATATTGGTAGTAATGGGAATAGTAGGGATGGTAATGGACGATGATTGTTTACGAGGCACTTACTAATCATTGGTTGGAGACCTAAGCGTAAAACCTTGCTAGCATGTAGTAATGGATTACTACGCTATGATGGAGTCAATGGTAAACCTAGAAAAACCAGGGTAGTAATGCATTACTACAAGAGCTTTTTTCGTTGAAAAGAAAACACTTGAATGTAGTAACGGATTACTACGCTACGGAGTCAATGGTTAGCCTAGTAAAATTAGGGTAGTAATGCATTACTACTTCTACAGGTCCAATTACTAGATGATAAACCTAGTAAAACTAGGGTAGTATTGCATTACTACTTGGGCAGGTCCAGTTACTAGATGGTAACATCATTACTACTGCAAGCCCAATTTACTGGATGGTAGCAATTAAATGCTGGGCTGAGCTGTTTTACGATCGTCAATTACACTAGACTAGGTGTAGGCATGCGTGGGATCCTTAACTTGCGCGTGGATCATAACTCGTTACTACTGATTTTTTTCCTGAGGAAACGAGTCTGGTTAAGCGCGCGGGCCTGGTCGTAAGTTCATTACGGTAGCTTTTATGACCGAGCCCGCGCTTCGTCTAATTAGTGCGTACAACCGGTGGGTTGATGGGCGGCTGGAGCGCACGCTAGGTTATAATACGCGCACGCTGACTTTAGCAGGTCTATATATATATATATATATATATATATATATATACATACATATACATTACTATTCATCACCCAGGGTGCAGAATAAGTTATTCTTCACCCGAGGTAATCTTACGATCATTTCATAATTAAATTACGTTTCGAATTCAAATAGTTACATTCGTATTGATTCACTACGTAAAATTTGACATAAGAAAAATAAAAATATAGGTCATAAGACAAGAAAATTTACAGTTTATGTGTATTTTAGACTATGTTTTTACGTTTGTAATTTTACATAACATAAAATATTTTTTACGGCGATTATATATTTTCTTACTGTCCCTTTTTGCGTCGGAAATAAGACAAAACTTACGGAACGTAAAATTACGGTGCATTGATGGTAAAATAGAGAGGGGTGAAGAATAACTATTCCTCACCTAGGGTGACGAATAGCGCGACCCTATATACATATATATATATATATATATATATATATATATATATACATATTGTACTAGGTTTCTTGTAGTTCCTTTTTTGTATTTCTGGATTCCTAGTTTATGTCCTCTACTTGTGTATATATGGCCCTAGAGCCTTGGCAATAGACCAAGTCTGCTGCCCCCATAACATGGTATCAAGGGCCTATTAGGGCTTTGGTTTTTTTATGAAGATGATAGGCGTTCTTTTATTCCATCAAACAAATTGAAATTATTGAAGTTTCCCTGTTTGTAATTCAACTAGTCTTGAGTCCTACTCCCTTCATGTCACTGTAATTGTCCCCCGCCCTGGGAGAATCTGTTTCAAATTATCTCCCCGCTGAAGAAATCAAGTTTAGTGATTGCTGTGATTCCACTCACCCTTGCTTACATGCTTTAGAAAAAGGTTAGTAGGTTTTTAGTCTGAATATTGGTGGGGGCATGCATTGGCATTGCATGGTGAGCTGAGGACAGTTATAGTAGAACAGGGGAGTATTACTACTTTATGGGAAAATTATTATTCATGAATCACTATTGTATTTTGCAATGCAAACATAGAATCAGTTGGATCTTTGATTGACTAATACTTTTTTGATACCTTGGTTAACACCAGCGAGAAATTTCTTATTGTATATGTGGTAAAGGTGTGGTACACCCCATCTTGAGTTCTTAACTATCTTGCCTCTGATTATAGACTTATAATAACATGCTGCCAACAATGACTATCCTTTCCCTTTTCTGAACTCAGTCCAGTAATATCATGAGGAGTTATTTTATATTTTACTTGGATATTAAAAGATTTTAGCTGACTAGTCTTCGTTGCAGGCCTGGTGGCCAACCTGTACAGATTGTACACAGATATCACTTTGCTTCTCACTTGAAGAGAATGTCTGTTATTGTCCGTATCCAGGAGAAATTTTATGCTTTCATAAAGGTAAGGTTACCACAGTCTAAATAAAATTATCGATCCGGTTCTTAGACACTTGGGATTGTTCAGAAACTGCTTCTTTAGGCCTTGTTTCATGATTTTGGCATGAAGAAATTAGTGTCCTCTTGTTCATGGACATCTCTAAATTACTTTTAGAGCAAAGGAAATAAAAAATGATCTCGAGAGGGTTTGGGCTTGGGTTCCTTGTGGATGTGTTTGGCCATTGGTGGTTTGCCATCTTTGCAATCCTTATGTTTTAGATGGAAAACGAAGTGGGATCCACCATATAAGTAATCTATTTATGCCTTGTTGTTTTCTTTTTCCCCAATTCTTATTTAGTTACGTAAAATAAAGATAACTTAGCCAGTTGAGTGGCCACAAAGAGACCATCCATTGGTTTAAATTATTATATTTTATCCCACCAAAAGTATTACAACGAGATGAGTCAATGGTTCAATCCATCCTTTTGTTTTTTTAGTTCTATATATTGAGTGTGTTGAGAACTGAAATTGAGCTACAAACAAAAAGTTGAATGATTGTAACTCCTGAGTTACCTAGTTCAGAGAATAGTCTTTGGCTATGTTCCTTTTGAATAATTTGTGGCCCATCAGAGCAGGCCTGTCTAAGCTGTTTTTCTGGTCGCGATCCTCATAACTTTAACTCGTTCCATCTTTTGTTTTGTTTGACCTTTTCCAGTTAACTGTTAAGAATATCGCCTTTTTTTTTTGTGGTTTCCAGGGTGCACCCGAGACCATTCAGGAGAGGTTAGTTGATCTACCTGCTGCATATGTGGAAACATACAAAAAATACACGCGTCAGGGCTCCCGGGTCTTGTCTCTTGCGTACAAACTGCTTCCGGAGATGCCTGTAAGTTCCCATTGAAGTATAATGGTTCCTTTATTTTTCTTTTAGTACTACTGTTTGTCTAAATTTCCCAAGCCATTAGATAGCATAGCATTTTAATTTAAGATCAAGGAGCAACACTTTCTTTTCAACCTTTCTTTATTTGTTGTGTAGGAACCATGTGAGTTCCAACTATCAGTCAATTTTCGTTTTGAGTTTAATTTCGCAGATGATCCAGTGGTATCCTGCATGCATGTAGCTTGCGGTGAAAATTCTCTGCCATTAGCACTAGACACTGGAATCATATGAATTGGTGCTGACAAACTAGTTTAAAGTATGGTGGTTAGCGTTGTGTTAACATTGAAACGCAAAAAACACTAGTGGGGAATAAATCAGTATCCATTTCAATATATACCCATGTGTTTAACTGATGCACAGCATGTTAGCAAATTAAGCTACTAGTACTGTTTCGTAGAAGGGTGAAGTAGCAAGTCTCCAGGTGTTGTGGGATAGTGATGTTCCCTTGTTTTGATATAGGTCCGCACCGTAGATATTGGTAGTGTTACTTTGTCCATGGCGTTGCGATCAGCAGTTATCAGAAAATCATTCATTGCTTAGATAGTTGTGAACTGTGATGCTTTATATGCATATTTACTTGGAAGCCAGTGAGATATTACTGTATTAGCAATTCATAACTTTTATGTTACTAACATTTTTAGAAGAACATAGTTGCAAGTTGTTTTCCTTCAGTGTAAGTAATATTAGGCCTGGGCATTCGCAAGTAGTTGCATTTTATTCTTAGTTGATATCTTTTTGTTTGAATTTGTACTAGAAGTTTATCTGGTATGAGTCGTTTGACCTCCTGGTATTTGAATAACAGGTTAGTGAAGCTAGAAGTCTGGAAAGGGATCAAGTGGAGAGTGACTTAATTTTTGCTGGTTTTGCGGTAACTAACCCTAAAATAGTGTAATTATGTTCCAATGACTTATTTGAAGATTTTTAAATGGTTTTGTTGGGTCATTTTTGCAACCAGGTCTTCAACTGTCCTATAAGGAGTGATTCTGCCGCTGTCTTGCTTGAACTGGAACAATCTTCCCATGACTTGGTATATCCCGTTCTTAAAGTTACTTGTCATTCTGTAGTGTCAACTAAGCATCTTCATGCTTCCTTATACATTTCCTGGGCGAAGTGTTTTTACACCAGTAATATGACCAAAGCTTTGGTACCTATTGATTTATCAGTAGCAATAACCTGTGAATAATTACAATGGAACTTTTCTGTTTTGTTTGATTAAAGTGCTCATCACCTCCCTGATGTATTAGGTTATGATCACTGGGGACCAAGCTTTGACTGCTTGTCATGTTGCTAGCCAAGTGAATATCTGTTCGAAGCCGGTTCTAATTTTAACACGGATGAAGACTAGTGGATTTGAGTGGGTTTCTCCCGATGAAACTGATAGAGTTCCATACAGGTAACAATTTATATGCAATGGGTTCTGCTATGATGAGTGCCTAGTGTTTGTACTAACCTTTTCTATAATTTTTAAGTTGGTACCCTGGCAAAGCTTCTTGCTATTCAGGGTTATCATGTCTATTCTTTTTTCCATTGGAAAAGAAAGAGATGTTTACGCATTGGTGTTAGGAGACAACTTTTTTTATTTGCTAGAAAAAAGGAAAAGGAAGATCTGCTGGATTTCCTATTAGCATTCCAAACCTCTCCTCCCCCCACTGCATATGTAAATGGAACTATGTAACTATGACTTCGGGCCTGTTCGGCTATCCACCAGCTCCGCGGAATTACAGGATCTGCGGAGCACCTATTTTCCAGCTCCACTATTTTAGCCTGCAGCTCCGCGAGCCGAGTCTGGAGCGGAGGGACTCCGAATACTCCCTCATCTATGCTATCGCGCGAACTATGTAAACATATATCTTGTTTGGTGACATTTCTAATATCTTGCATTATTGTTTTGTAGAGCTGAGGAGGTTAAAGAATTATCAGAATCACATGATCTTTGCATTAGTGGGGACTGCTTTGAAATGCTACAAAGGACCGATGCTGTTGTCCAAGTCATTCCTCATGTGAAGGTAAGTGAGAACAGATTGCATACCTTCTCAAACTATGAAGGCCCTGATTTACATTATAAGCGTCGTTGTTTCAGGTTTTTGCGCGCGTTGCTCCTGAACAGAAAGAACTTGTACTGACAACATTTAAGACTGTTGGGAGGATGACACTGATGTGTGGAGATGGAACCAATGATGTTGGTGCACTGAAACAGGTCTGTACCTGGCTCATATCCTGGTTTAATCCGCTCTTTTTTCTCATAATTATTCAATGTTATGATTATGCTCATTACACACACAATGACACAAACGGTTGTAGTCATGCACTCATGCCAGGGATTGACTTGATCTCAAACATGTATGGCGATTTTGATGTGATATTCTTCTTACAACATTGTCCTTATGTATATATTCTCTATGATTCTTAGAAAGGAAGCCGAATATGGAACTCATGCTAATGATTGACTTGATCTTGAACTTGTCTGGCAACTTTGGTCTGATATTTCTTACTACAATTTTGTCTTTCATTTACATGTGCTCATTCCACAGAAACAGTTACTCCTTCGGTTAATTCAGATTATTTGCTAAAAATCTGTTTTGGCCTCTACAATATGGAAGCCAAATGAATCACATAGAAAGGAATCACCTAATCTGAAACACTGAAATTGTTTGTTTTGGTTGTCTCGGTTAGCCGAAGTTAATAAAAATAAAAATTATGAGCAAGAAGCTACAGATTAGAGATCTGGAAATCGATTTTGATCGCCCCATCACCCAACTGCATACAAGAATGAAATCAGAGAAGAAGGCCGCAGACATAGAAGAGAAAAACACAATAACTCTGGATTATTGTGTCCTTTGCCTTCTAGATCTTTTGCCTGCACTTCCAAGAATGAGTAGGCCTTAGCTCATGCTCTGTTTTTGTTGTGGTCATCTCTGGTGTTCGTACATTTATGCAAAGATGCAATCCAGCCACCTATTATTATGGCTACAGCCATTCACTTCACCAGTTTGCCTGCCATCCCGCAGTGGAGAGAACTCAGACCTAGGGTAGTAAGCTCCTATGGAGCAGCTTATGGGCACATCATGCCCACAAAGTTGGTTGGAAGACGTTATACAAGGAGTCCACTGTGCAATGGTTGGAGAACCAAGTATTAGTTGTAAATTAGCGTCTTGGTAATACTTTTATTGTCTGATAAGCTTGTAAAATTGAACCGAACTTCTTGCACTTGTTTTAGTTAGTGGGGTATATGAGAAGCATAGCATATTGAACATATCTAGCCAGTTTGAGCCACAAATGCATGTCCATGTATTTTTTTATGCAGGCTGGACCTATATTAGCCTGGCATTTGGTTCCGCTTTGCCAATAATCTGAAATATAGTTGTTCTGCAACCTTATTCTGAATATAGTTGTTCTGCGGCCTTCGCTGTAGGACACTCAAAGGTTACTTGATAAATTTCTTGACCTGGGCAGTCCTATCTACTGTTTTGTTAGCTATTGTTTCTGTTCTTGAGTGTTACCAATGGAAGATAGGATATATATGTTATACACCTTATGACAATGTATTGATGTGAAATTCTTAATTTTCAGGCACATGTTGGCATAGCTCTGCTAAATGCTGAACCGGTGCAGAAAGCTGGCTCGAAATCTCAGTCATCCAAACTTGAAAGCAAATCAGGGAAGCTGAAAAAACCGAAACCTGCTAACGAGTCATCATCACAATTGGTTCCACCAGCTAGCAGTTCCGCTAAAGCACCTAGCAGCCGCCCCTTGACTGCTGCTGAGAAACAGCGCGAAAAGCTGCAGAAGATGTTAGATGAAATGAATGATGAAAGTGATGGCCGCTCAGCACCGATTGTAAAGCTTGGGGATGCATCCATGGCCTCACCTTTCACAGCAAAGCATGCCTCTGTTGCCCCCACGCTTGATATCATCCGCCAGGGGCGAAGCACCCTAGTCACTACACTCCAAATGTTCAAGATTCTTGGACTCAACTGCCTTGCAACAGCATACGTTCTCAGTGTAATGTACTTGGATGGTGTGAAACTGGGTGATGTTCAAGCTACAATCAGTGGTGTCTTCACTGCAGCATTCTTCCTCTTCATTTCCCATGCTCGCCCACTTCAAGCACTGTCGGCAGAGCGCCCCCATCCTAACATCTTCTGTGCATACGTCTTCCTGTCCATTCTCGGCCAGTTTGCAATGCACTTGTTCTTCTTGATGTCAGCTGTCAACTTAGCATCCAAGTATATGCCAGAGGAATGCATCGAGCCTGATTCAGAGTTCCATCCAAACCTGGTCAACACAGTTTCATACATGGTGAACATGATGATCCAGGTGGCAACCTTTGCTGTGAACTACATGGGCCACCCGTTCAACCAGAGCATATCGGAGAACAAGCCATTCAAGTATGCTCTCTATTCAGCTGTTGTTTTCTTCACGGTGATCACATCGGATATGTTCAGGGATCTGAACGACTACATGAAGCTAGAGCCCTTGCCTGAAGGAATGAGGGGCAAACTGCTGCTCTGGGCTATGCTTATGTTTTGCGGCTGCTATGGATGGGAGCGGTTTTTGCGGTGGACATTCCCAGGCAAGATGCCAGCGTGGGAGAAGCGCCAGAAACAAGCGGTTGCAAACCTAGACAAGAAGCAGGCATAGGATCTTGCATTCTTTTTTTCCATCACTGTTTGATTCTTCACCCTCCGCTGTCCAAGGCAGCGATCTTGTCACAAGTAAACTGATGATGATTTGGCATAGTTGCACTCTAATGTGTAGTTTAGGAGAATTTTGTCAGACTCTTGAGCCCTATTTGTAGGAGGATATAGGGTCGATACCTACATACAATGTCTGGTATGGAGGGTCAGAATTTTCAGTTTACATACCTTATGCTAATGATGACATGAATGAATATGCATCACCATACAATTGAGAACACCAACGATTTATGAGGTATCTTTACTGTCATGCGTTATTTGATATTTATTCTAGGTGTTTACACATCATATGCTTGCTATGCAACAATTTTGCCGTTTCACAAGTTTATGGAATTACTTGTGGTATATCCACCAATCTCATGTGTATGATGCTGCGCAATTTAACCATGTGGCGCGTTCAGCCGGATTGGTGGCGCGCGGCCAAACGGTAGCACGCAAAACCGCACCCGCTTAATAAGGGTCAAACTTGGCGAGAGCTTGCGATTTGACCCCAGGAAGTCCACGCTCGACCTCTTCAGCGGCAGGCCTGCGTCAACTCTCAGCAACCCTCCCTAAATGCTACGCTTACCTGTTAGGTTCAGACTTAATGTTTAACAGTGTTTGGAACCAGGGCGTTCTACAACCTCTCCCCGTCGTATTCTCTCTAAAACAACGAATTGTTACGCATATCATGGCCGCCACCGGCATCTTCTGATCCAAATCGATGACTTTCCGACTGCTGCTTTTATAAGCTTCTAAGTTTAAACAAGTTTGCTCCATTGAAATGGGGACCCAAAGGCAAAAGCAAGCTTATGCAGAAAGAAGAAGATTTCGCACTCTCAAGCTCAAGGATTTGAATGCACTTTAAATTTGTTTAATGTTGTTTTTGTGAGGGTATGTGCTACTTAATATATGGTCTTTGATCTTTAAGAAAAAGGAAGGGGAAATGATTGAAATCGGCATGTATAGAATTTTTTAGCCTACCAACACACACACACACACAAAACGCATCTAGGTCCAAACAAGTTTCCAGAAACAACATGCCAAATTGGCCCCACCTCTCAGAGGCCAGGAAAAGGTTCGGCACCACCCAGGAGTACCCGTAGCAGTAGCGGATAGATATACACAGCGTCATTTCTCCCCGAAGGACAAAAAGAAAGAAAAATCTATATATCCCCAATTCGTCGCACATCGAACAAGACCGCGTCCCAACCGAAAATCCCCAATTCCCCACCACCGACAGCGTCGGTGAGAGAGATGGCGTCGGCGACGGAGATGCAGCCGCTGGCACCGTCGGGCTACCGCCGGGCGCCGGAGATGAAGGAGAAGGTGGAGGCGTCGTCGATCGACCTGGAGGCGGGGAACGGGGAGACGCTCTACCCGGGGATCTCGCGCGGGGAGAACGCCCTCCGCTGGGGCTTCATCCGCAAGGTCTACGGCATCCTCTGCGCGCAGCTGGTCCTCACCACCGTCGTCTCCGCCATCACCGTCTTCTACCCCACCCTCAACGCCACGCTCTCCAACTCGCCCGTCCTCGCGCTCGTGCTCGCCGTCCTCCCCTTCATCCGTAAGTGCTCTAGTTTTCTCCCCCATCTGGCGCCATCCTTGACCTTGTCGTGGCGCGTTTATTCTGTGATGAATCTGACGACGCCTAGGTATTCGTTGACCTCGCCTCAATTAGCAGTTTGCTTGACCCGTTGGTCGTAGGACGCCCAGCTGTTCGAATCAACAGCGTAGGTCGTGGATCTAGCTAGTTCAAGCTGCAATAGTTTGATTCAGTGGATTTTGGTTACAAATTTAAGTTACATTATATGTGTTTTTCTTCTTTCCAAATCGAATTGTGAATTAAGATGAAGCCGTTCATAATCAGTAAGCAACGAATCCATGGTGATATACATGCAATAGGAATAATGCTGAAGCTGTTACCATGCCCTTAATAACATGATATATATATTGACTGTAGTTGTGTGCAACGGGCCTATATGAAGGGTTATATGCACCTGTGGTTTGCCTCCATGATATAGGACCTGAAGACATCAGAGTTTCTTCAGACAACTTAATGTGGAGTCGAGTTTGGAGCGTAGCCGGCAGGACAGGGTTCTAAGGGTGTGTTTGGTTGAAGAACCAACTGTCATGGAATGGAATGGTTCCATTCCAAAGGAACGGGTCAGTTCCATTCCTGTGTTTGGTATGAGCAAAAAAGTAGAATGGAATGGTCCCATTCCTGTGTTTGGTTTGGAAGCATGGATGAAAAACGGAATAACAAAAATTCAAAATTTCGGCAGCATTTCTATTGTACTTTAAAAAACAACATAACACTATATATTGACAAGCATGATACATATATGATATTACACAGAACACAATTTGATCTGAACAAATGTATGCTGCCTTCTTTGGGATAATTTGTGCATTTGGCTTGAGTGTGGCATCCTGCCTTGGAGCAGCAGCAGCAGCACGCTTGACCAATGTATGAGGTAGATTGTAGAGGTTGCAGCAACAAAATCTGAAGAGGTAGAGAGGAGTAAACACTATCAAGAATATGGCTACCAATGACTTGTACTAGGGAAGTAGGGATTTAACACATCAACATATATTGCAAAGATAAACTGGACAGCATGTATTTCAGTAGAAATTAGGAAAAGATCCCCTTCGTTTGAACAGTATAGAGAAACAAAATGAATCAAAAGACAACCATGAGTCCATCTCTGCATCTCTCTCGGCTGGGCAATCTCCATGACTGCAAAGTGTAACAGTGGCTGCACTACTTTGAACAGCACAGAGCACATACAAGGGGTAAGGAAGAGATGTCGCACCTTGAGGAGAGGAGCCTCTACCGCCGTTGTTAGCTCGCCGGAATCACGCCTACACCGCCGCCCTGCTGCAACCCTTCTGCAAAACTACCGCCACGCAGCTCCAGATCGAGAGAAAGGACGGCCTGCTTCCCTCGTGTGCTACAGATCGAGAGGGGAGGAGTCAGCCGCGGCAAGGGGAAGAATCAGGGGAAGGCGGGGCGGGGCGGCGCAGATCGAGGGAGAGAGAGACGAGGAGGAGGCGGCGCAGTGAGGACAGGCGATAGGGCTGGGGGCGCGAGAAGAGAGCCGGTTCCGCGTCGTCCGTTCGTTTTGGAGGTATCACCTGGTTCTGCATCTGGGCCGAATATTCGGTTCCTAGGAACGAGGCGGTGACCGTTCCATCTCCCTACTGAACACGAGAACGATGCTCGGGAATGGGTCGGACCCGTGACGTTCCACGTCGTTCCAGCAACCAAACACACCCTAAATAGACGCCTTGATGGTTGCCACCACTCAAGGTAGCCACTATATGAATATACATCAAATGTCAAGGTTTAGTAGGCCCTGGTATCAGTTTAGCATGCCTTGAGGTGTGGTAAAGGCCTTCATAGCGACCAGAGTTTTTTGTTCAATTCGTTTCCTTGATAAAATAATTGGCTTCCCCAACAACCTAATCGATAGCACAAAACATGGATGGGATAGTGTTTACGCTTTGACTCAAATGAAGGTGAGGTGGGGGACTTGGTACTTGATGACCATTCTGATAGTGTTGGCCATGTTGGAAGTGAGAGAGACTAGAAAGTTTGGGACCGACTATAAGTCAGGTACCTGAAAATGAAAGTCCATCAGTTACTTTCAACCAGAGCCAGTAGATCTTCATCCAACGAACAAAAACAGATCGGCCGCGCACTGTTCATCTTCTACCTCCCTCTCTTCTTCCTCGCGATGCCGCCGGCCTGCCCCGCCCTAACCGCCAGCCTCCAGCACCCGCGGCTGGCGGGCGCTACTGCGCACCGCCTCGCCGCTCCGCCCTCCCCTCAACCTCCCCGTGCCAGAAGGGAGGAAGGAAGTAGGTGACTGACGCCAGAGAAATTTTCAGGTACCTGAGAAATAGCAAAGCCGAGAAAGTTTTAGTTTACTACTCCCTCCGATCCAAAATAAGTGTCGCAGTTTTGAACGAAGGTTGAACTAAGGGAGTAGTAGTTTGTGTCGATAGTTAGTGTGCATGGTTGCAACTAGAGATAGTATTGTATTTGAGGAACTGTAATAAGTACTAATTTTCCTGATATAGCTCCATTTCTGTCTGTACGTGTAGGTTATGATGCAGGTAATGATGTTTTGGTCTCATATTGTTTGGCTGTTTAGTTCCTTTCATCATTAGAAAGTTGAAGCTAGTAGTGACTAAATCCTTATCAATGTCCTATGTGAAAACAATCTATGATACATGTATAACAAATTGATCAGTTGTGTGTTTTCTCTCTAGTTCATATTGCCCACAAATATTACATTTTGAAGTTACTAAACCACTTTCAGCCATAGCAGTATAGCACTTTTGGCGTTATCTCCGTAGGTGCATATAAATTGCGAACGTTTCTTTGTTCTGAAATTTTCTTATTTGAGCAAACTGATTCTTGGTAAAATCATACTTGCACCATCAAATTAGACACAAATATGTTAAAGTCCTAATGATTAATATTTAGTCCAGTAGGATATGGAGAAATAATTTGGCAGGAGTCTGAAGTCTCAGAACATAGAGTGCAAGAGAATAGAAATTCTGCCCGTGTTAGTATTTCCAGCAGCATCAATCCATCACACTGAAGCACTCCCAGACCCCTTCCCCTGGACCATCTTTTGAGTTCTGAGAGAATGCTGATCAGATGACAATCCATTGTTGTTATTTTGTATCAGAAGATATTGTTTCCCTTAGCTAATTTTGTGATATTTGTTGCAGTGATGATCCCATTGTACATCTATCAGCACAGACACCCTCACAATCTTGCTATCTTGGGTTTGTTCACTCTGTGCTTGAGCTTCAGCATTGGTGTGGCTTGTGCAAACACTGAAGGTTTGTTTCTTTCATATAATTGTTTTCATTGTCTTCTTGCTTTAGACTAGTTTTATTAAAGGCTCACTTGTATGTTGCAGGAACTATTGTGCTTCAAGCATTGGTACTGACCTCAGCTGTGGTTGTCTCTCTGACTGCATACACATTCTGGGCCGCAAAGAAGGGCAAGGAATTTAGTTACCTTGGACCGTTTCTGTTTTCTGCTCTCACCATCCTGGTCGTGATAAGCTTTACCCAGGTAACATGCATGATGAACTTTGGAAAATATTGTTTAACTGACTCGCATAGAAGCATTCCGGTTGAACATTCCACTAGTTGTAACCCTTGTGCCGCAAATTGCTGTGTTGCAGATCTTCTTCCCATTTGGACCTGCATCGAATGCTGTGATCGGTGGGTTTGGAGCTCTAGTCTTCTCAGGCTTCATCGTCTACGACACTGAGAACTTGATAAAGCGCCACACTTATGACGAGTACATCTGGGCGTCTGTTGAGCTTTACCTCGACATCCTCAACCTGTTCCTGACCATCCTACAGATGCTCAGGCAGAATGACAACTGATGGGTCCTGTCTGAACCACCAGGACCTTGTGCCAACCCAGGCATATGTCCAACATTTATCAAGTCTTTTGAATTGCTATCTACATAACTTGGAAGACATGGTAGTAAGTTTTTGCCATCATCCAGAGATGAGGCCAAAGTACAACCATATGTATAGGTGTTCTATTGTGAGTTTATGTGCCTGAGTGTTGTTAAACTGCCAACAATCAGTGATCGTATGAACGTTTTGTACCAACAATTGTCGCGTCGTTTCGTTTGTGCGTGTTATTTGTCCCCTTACTCCTTAGTGCAACTCCAACGTGGTTCTCTAAAGTGACCGTGTACGGATCGTGCAGTCTGGGGTGTAGTCTGGACGTCCAAAATCCCCCAAACCGAAAACAAACTCGTGGGAGGTTTGAGGGAGTTCGGACACCGACATACTCGGCCCACCCAGAACCTCTCTTTCCCTCCGCTTTATACCTTCCATCTGCACCCATCAACACATCGCCACCACTTTGGCCGCCGCTGAGTTCTTGCCAGACCTCTGGTGCTTCATCCAGGTGCCTTGTGCTCTGCAACCATTGCAGCCGTCTGGACGCCGTCCATGGCGGACACCATGCCCTACAAGTGTTCGGCCAAATGCCATTAAGATTTTATTTTGCGGCCAAATGCCATTGAGATTTTTTTTTGCTTTCTTCTTGTTTAACATGAAGCAAGCGTGATGACAGGGTACTTGGTAGGGGTGATGCATTGTTATGCGACGCGTCGTTGGGAACAAGTGCATGGTTTGTAGGCATGAAGCAAAAGGGCACAATATTTTGATAACACGCGCATTCTTGGTTTCATGAGCATAACACGTGCATTCTTGGTTTCACGAGTATTAGCACTACGCGCCCTACAACTTGGATGTGATCCGTCGCAACGTGAAGTCACTACTCCATCGATTGTACACCATTTCAAACATCGTCATGAATTACGACAAGTGTAAAGAAGGTGGCTACCGGGCACATCAATCATGGAGATCGTAAGTTTTGCTTCTTATTGCTTTAAGTGTTGATCAGTTCATTGATTCACTCAATATTATAACTTGATCACGTCATTGTATAGTCTGGACACGCTGTCGCGTTGTACCGAAGGATGGAGGGCAAACCCTTCACATTGATGCATTGTTGGATGAACCTCTAGGGGCACAACATATGGATAAACAACATGTGTCGATGAAGGAGAGAAAGCTTGAGACGAAGGCCGCTTTTGAGGAGTATGGTTAAATTTGGATTGATGAATTTTGAAAACTTATCGAACATCCGAAGCTTTTAGGATTTAAATGTACGGTGGAATTGATGTCCATCAATGATTCAAAGTGAGGCTGCATGGCGGATATTTGGTTTAGTTCATTCTATTTTCTTGTGATGCGAACGTCGACAGAAACTTCAACGGCGCGAATAATTTTTCCCAATCTTTCACGGTACAGAAAATAGCAATAAGTATTTCTTCTCGAAACTGCAGTAGCTATTATTTGCTTTTTCTGGCCTCCCGTACGTCCGAACAGAAACAACACCCAAATCAATTTGTGCAGCAGTGGAACCTTGATCCAGAATTAGGTTTACTAGATGCAAACCCAAACAAACAACATGCAAACCCTGCGAACAGCCGGAATCACATGGACGAGCACAAGTACTCACGTACAGATTAGAAGTTGCAGCCTCCAATCTTCACGCAAACACACACAAAGTAATCAACTTTTTAACCAGCCCTGCTCATACGGGGAGATACCCCGACTTGTTCATGTTGTGTTCCTCTAACCAAAAAAATCATATGTCACATCCCTAGCTTCTGGTGCTGCCTAGTGTTTGCATCATGTTTAAATTTTTGAAACTTGAACTGAGGAAATTTGGAAGCCTCAAAAACTTGAATAAAAGAAGGGCAAAAACCCTAAAATCTCATTCGTTGTTCCAAAATGCTCTTCTTAAATGTTTGATAATTTTTGGCAAGGGTTCTGGTCCCAACCAAAATATTGAACATTTTTAAGGACTTAATCTTGGGACTTTGAATTTAATTCATTAGCTATTTGAATTTGAATTATATTCATATAATTAGAATATAATTTCAAATACCCCTGAAATATTTTATGAGCTTTTGGAAAAGTCCATCTAGCAAAATAAAAATATTCAGAGGAGTTTTTGGCATTGTTTGGATTATTTTAAATTCAAAACAGTGGCAAAAGATTAAATAAAAGAAAACAGAACAGAAATATAAAAAAGAGCAGAAGCCTACCTGGGCCACCTACCTGCAGCCCACCTAGCGCCTCACCTGGTAGCCAACCGGCCCAGCACTGCAGTTGGCCGGCCCAGCCCACCAGGCGCCTCCCCCTGTCGCCTTCCTCCTCGTGCCAGTAGGCAGAGGAGGGACACCGCGACGCCGCCGAGCTCGCCACGCCACCACCTTGCCTGGCTGCCTCCTCCTCTCCCTGGGCGTCTCCCGCAGCTCCACGCCACCCCTGGAACCCCCTCGCACTCTCCCTCGTCCCCAACTCCTCCTCTGTCGCTCTTTCCCACGACGCCTGAACACACCGGAAAGCGCCGCCGCACGCCGACGCGGCCACAGCCTCCCTCTCGCCTCGCCGTCGTGCCCACGCGCCCTGCCACTGTGGGCTACGCCTCCTCGTAGAGACGCATGGCGCCGGACGCCCTGGAACGCCGCCATCACCATCGTCTTCCTCCTCGGGCTCCGCCGCCCGCTGCCGCCGATTCGCCGTCACCGAGTCTTCCCCGAGCACGCCGAGGCCACCTCTGCACTCGCCGTGAGCCCCTCTTCCTCTCCCCTCTTCTCTCAAGCTCGCGGTCGTTCTCTAGCTTCATTCCCCATGACGGCCGAGAACATCTCGCCGCCGGCCATGGCGTAGCCGTGGCCACAGCCACTGGAGCTCCCACCCGAGTACACCATCATGCTCAGAACGTCTCCACGAGCCCGTTGCATGCCGCAGCTCGCCCTCTCGTGCCCCCTAGTGGTCGCCCATGTCTCACCCGAGCTCCGGCGGCCGCAACCGAGCTCGTCGCCGTCGACTCCGGCCACCCCAGGCCCGGAGAGCACGACCATCCGACGCGCCATCGCGCCAGCTCTCCGTAGGGCCAAAGGGCGCACTGAACGATGCAGTATAGACGAAACCCGAGCCACCTCGGTGCGTCTCCGCCGCGTTTTTGGTCGCCGTCGGCCAAACTCCGGCGAGCCGACGTGGCTCCGTCATTAGGAGCTAACCCAACTAACTAAACAACCTACAGCCACTAACAGTAGGCCCCACCCCTGGTCAAACCCCAGTCAGCGCTGGGTTTGACCGGGATTAGTTCCTGTGTCACTGACATGTGGGCCCCAGCCCTTCTAATTACTTTAGTTAAGAGTTAACTAAACCCAGGTTAGTGCTGAGTCAATGACAGGTGGGCCACACCAGTCAGGTTTGACCTGGTCGACGCCTGTTGACCTGCTGAGGTCAGCATGACCTAGTGCTGACGCAATAAATCATTTCTGGTTTTTAAAATAAATGCAGGAAATTCCAGAAAATTGTATAAACTTCTAAAAATCATAGAAATTCAACCGTAACTCCAAATTAAATAATTTATATATGAAAAATTATCAGAAAAATTCAAGGAATCCATCTGTACCATTTTCATGCATGTTAGAACAACTTATAGCTGCTGTTTAGCACAAATCAATTAAATGGCATTTAAATAACCATATATGGAGTTGGAATTTGAATCATGTATTCAAACCAACCTCATTTAAATCATAGCTAGGTGCATTAGCCCAAAACACATTCATATTGCCATGTCATAGCATGCATCATATTGTGCATTGCATTGATTGTGTTCTTTCTTGTTTGCCGGTGTTTGTCCCCTCTCGATAGACGTGACTCCGACGACGAGATCGATGACACCGATGAAGAACTATATTATCTTCAGAAGTGCCAGGCAAGCAAAACCCCCTTGTTCATTCCGATACAATCCTACTCTCTCGCTCCTGCTCTCTTTTACTGCATTAGGACAACAATGATTCATCTGTTACTTGCTGCGGTAGCTGAACCCCTTTATCCTTTGCATGACCTGTCATTGCCACAGTAAATAGATGAAACCCACTAGCATGAGTAGGAGTTGTTTGAGCCCTGTTGTGCCTACTCATTCATGCTTGTTTGTCATGCCTGCTACTGCTTAGAGTTGAGTCAGGTCTGATTCATCGGGGATGAATCAGAGGTGTGTGAACATGTCCTACTGTGTGTGAGCTAAGTGTGTGAATACGATTTGGTAAAGGTAGCGGTGAGAGGCCATGTAGGAGTACATGGTGGGTTGTCTCATTCCAGCCGTCCTCAGGAACTGAGTTCTGTGTTTGTGATCCATGATTCAGCTACTACCACGCATTGGGCCCGAAACCAATGGACCCTCTTGGCTTCTTGATCACCCTTGTCCTCTGTCCAGGAGTTGCAAGTAGTTTCTGGTGTTTGTAGTATGCTGGAGGCCGTGGGCAGCGCTAACCGGAGGGGTGGGCTATGATGCGGTAGGCACGTGGCACGGTGTACCGGGCGCCCGTTTGGTGTCTCGGGAACCCTGTTCACATCGTTTGGGGCTGTGAGCGAAACTCCGGCCGGATCTCCTCATGGATGGAACCCAAATAGGCGATAAACCTGGACTAGAGACTTGAGTGTTTAGGCAGGCCGTGGCCGACACCCACGTTGGGCTTCCGCTTGAAGGTTGCCGAGTACATGTCGTGTAAACGGCGGTAAGTGGTGAGAGCGTGTGTGAAGAAGTACACCCCTGCAGGGTTAACATCATCTATTCGAATAGCCGTGTCCGCGGAAAAGGACTTCTGGGTTGCTTATATCCGTTCATAGACAAGTGAAAGTGGATACTCTAAAATGCGCAAGATAAGCGTGAGTGCTATGGATGGCGTTCTCATAGGGAGACGGGAGCGGATCCATAGTGGTGTATTGATATGGTGAATATGTGGACTCGCGTGCGCCACCTCAAAAGAGTTGCT